TCTTTCCCTCTGTCACCCACCCACATGGTGTGTGCATATTGAAAGAGCTGTTGTCATTGAGGAATTTGCCAAAAGGTCTTGTGCTCATCTTTCTCTATTTTAGTACTTCAGTCCTTGACTGAGCTACTCTGTGGTTGAGAGTGTGGATGCAACTTAAATTTTCAGGGGATTCTCAGCAGCTGGCTGATAGCTTGCCAGTCTGCTTATCCCATTAGAACCCTTAGGGGGAGGTTTGTTCCTTGTTACTGTAGAGAAATTACTATCTCCTTAGGCCAAAAATGTGTGTTGTCCAGCTGTTATAGGGAACTGATCACAGGTTCTGCAAGTAGATAGGAGTATTCTCATCTAGGATCGGGAAAAGGATTTACTCCTAGGAAATCTTCTATTAGAAGAAGAGTTAGAAAGTGGAGTGAGACCTTTTTATATCCTCTTCTCATTCCAGTGGGAATTACTTCTTTCTGGAAGAATAGAATAGATCAGCTAGATAGCTGTAACCCAGCTAAGCATGGGTTCCAAATGGTAAGGGGAAAAGTTTGGGGAACTCCAAAAAATTAACATGCCAGGTCCATAGGACACTTTGCTAATTCCCCAGCAGAAAGAAATCATACCAGAAGATTAGCATTTAGCCCACTCAGTTTCTTGCTGAAATGAAATTCCTGGGATTTGCATGTGTATTTTGACCTTAATTCCCTGTGTTATTTTCTTTTGAATTTCTTTCACCATTCTGACTTTAGCAGGGAAATCCTCACAAAATGCCATAAACATGCTTGTTCTCATTCAGAGTTCAGTGAAATGGACCCTAATAATAGTGCTAGAGCTAACAGCTAACATCTATTGAGAGTTCACTGTAATCACACATTATTCTAAGTGGGGTTTTTTTTGGTAACAGCTTTATTAAGATATAATTCATATACACAATTCACCCTCTTAAAATGTACAATTCAATGGTTTTTAGTATATTCACAGAGTTATGCAGCCATCACCACAGTGAATTTTAGGATGTTTTCATCAACCCTAAAAGGAACTCTACCTTTAGCTACCACCTCTCAGTCCTCCCCATCTGTAGGCAACCACTAGTCTACTTTCTGTCTCTATAGATTTATCCATACTGGATGTTTCCCAGAAATGGAATTGTACAGTGTGTCGTCTTTTGTATCTGGCTTCTTTCACTCAGCATGATGTTTAAGGGTTCATCCATGTTGTAGCAGGTATCAGTAATTCATCCTCTTTTATTGCCAAATAATATTCCATTGTATGAATGTACCATATTTTGTCTATCCATTCAACAGTTGATGAACGTTTGAATTGTTTACACCTTTTGGTTATTGTGAATAGTGCTGCTGTGAACACCTGTGTACAAGTTTTTGTTTGAACACCTGTTTTTAATTCTTTTGCATATGTAACTAGAAATTGCTGGGTCATATGGTAATTCTATGTTGAACTCATTGGGGAACTGCCAAACTGTATTCCATAGTGGTTGCACTATCTTACATTCCTACCAGCAGTGGATGAGGGTTTTGAATTTTCCACATCCTTGCCATTTTCTGGGTTTTTTGTTTGTTTGCTTGTTTTTTAAACGGCCATTCTAGTGAGTGTGGGATGGTATCTCATTGTGGTTTAGATTTGCAGTTCTCTGATGACTAATGATTTGGGAATCTTTCATGTGCTTATTGGCCACTTGCATATCTTCTTTGGAGGAATGTCTATTCAGATCCTTTGCCGATTTAAAATATTTGGTTATTGATCATTTTATTATTGAGTTGTAAGAATTCTTTATATAGTTTAGATACAAGTCCCTGATCAGATATATGATTAGCAAGTACTTTTCCTCCATTCTGTAGGTCTTTTCATTTTCTTCTTGGTGTTCCTTGAGGCATAAATGTTTTTAATTGTAATGAAATCCAATTTATTCTTTTGTTGCTTATGCTTTTGGTATCATAATCTAAGAAACCATTGCCAAATCCAAGGTTATGAACATTTAATTTTAAGATTTTTTTCTTTTTAGAGTTTTAAATTTTTAGCTCTTAGATTGTTGATCCATTTTGAGTTAATTTTTATTGTTGGTGTATGTTAGGGGTCTAACTTCATTGTTTTGCATGTATTGATAGATATCCAGTTGCCTCGGCACCATTTATTGAAAAGACTAATCTTTCTCCACTTAATTGTCATGGCACCCTTGTTGAAAATCAGCTGACTGTAAATGTGTTTATTTCTGAACTCTCAATTTTATTCCATTGACCTACATGTCTTTCATTATGCCAGTACTATGGTATCTTGATTATTGTTGTTCTGTAGTGTGTTTTGAAATTGGGAAGTGTGATTCCTCCAACGTTGTTCCTCTTTTTCAAGATTGTTTTGGCTCTTCTGGGTTCCCTGCAATTCCATATAAATTTTAGAATCAGCTTGTCAATTTCTACTAATAAGCCAGCTGGGATTCTTATAGAAGTTGCCTTGAACCTGTAAATCAATTTGGGGAGTATTACCATCTTAATACTAAGTCTTCCAATCCAGGAACATGGGATGTCTTTTCATTTATTTAGATCTTTAATTTCTTTTAACATTTTTTTGTACTTTTCAGAGTATAAGTTTCTCACCTCTTTTATTAAATTTATTTCTAAGCATTTTATTTTTCTTGATTCTATTGTAAATGGAATTGTTTCCATAATTTCATTTTCATGTTGTTCATTGCAAGGATATAGAAATACATGTGATTTCTGTATATTGATCTTGAATCATAGAACTTTGCTGAGCTTGTATATTAGTTCTAATAGTATTTGTGTGTGGGTTCCTTAGGATTTTCTATGTATAAGACTATGTCATCTGCTAATATAAGTAGTTTTACTTCTTCCTTTCCAATCTGGATCCCTTTTATTTTATTTTCTTGCCTAATTGCCCTGGCTAGAACCTTTAGTACTGTGTTGAATAGAAGTGTTCAGAGTTGAACATCCTTACCATCCAAGAGTTGAATGACTGACTTATTCTGGTTTTCCTAGGACTTTCCCAGTTTTAACATTGAAAGTCTTGCATCCCAGGAACCCTCTCAGTCCTAGACAAACAAGGACAGTTGGTCACTCTATTGAGGAAGCCTACTCTGATCACCCCAGGCTTTAGACATCATAGACACTAAATACCTACTTTCTATACCAGTGTTTTATAGAGTTGGATTTGGAGAGGCAGGCAGGAGCAAGATCACCAGGGCCTTATGGACCATGTCAAAGAGTTTGTACTTTATTCAAAAAACAGAGGGGTTCACTTCTAAAGCGTCAGCAGTGCTATATTAGTTATTCACTACTACATGGCAAATCCTCCACCCCCCAAAAAGAGAGTTGGACATCCTTGTGTTCTCCTTGATCTTAGGGGGAACGCATCAGTCTTTTACAATTAGCTATGACATTAGCTTTGGGTATTTCATAGATGTTCTTTCATAGTTAAGGAATCTCCTTTCTAGTCCTAGTTTGTTGAGTGCTTTTATCATGAAAAGGTACTGAATTTTGTCAAATGATTTTTCTAGATCTATTGAGATGGTCATGTAGCTTTCATTTTTATTCCATTAATATGGTGTGATAACATGAATTGATTTTCAGATGTTAAACTAATTTTGCATTCCTGGGATAAATCCTAGTTGGTCACAGTGTATAATCCTTTTATATACTGCTGGATTTGGTTTGCTAGTATTTTGTGGAGGATTTTTGCATCTGTGTTCATAAGACATATCAGACTTGAGTTTTCTTCTGATGTCTTTGTTTTTGGTATCAGAATAATATTGGCCTCATAGAATGACTTGGGAACTATTCTTACCTCTTCCTGAGTTCATGAAATGTTGGTATTAGTTCTTCTTTAAATGTTTGGTAGAATTCATCAGTGAAGCCATCTGGGCTTAGATTTTTCTTTGTGGGTAGTTTTTGATTATTAATTCAGTGTCTTTACTTGTTATAACTCTGTTCAGATTTTCTGTTTTTGAGTCTGTTTTGGTAGTTTGTATCTCCCTAAGAATTTGTCCAGTTTGTCTAAATTATCTGATTCATTGGCATGTAATTGTTCTAACAATGATTTGTTTTAAGTGTTTTTATGCATATCAATTGCTCAAATCTTTACAATAATTCTATAGAGGAGGTAATATTATGACCTTAATTTTACAGGTGAAAAAAGTGAAGCATAGAGCATTAACTTGCCCTAGGTCACCCAGCCAGTAAATGGAGGAGCCAGGGTTTGGATCCAGGCAGTCTAGATTCAGAATGCATGCTCTATCATATCTAGACTATCTGAAGACTACTTCTAAAAGTTCTCATCAGGAGGGACCTGGAACCTGTCTGGTCAGATGGGACCTTTTGAGGCACTTCCTGTTCTTTTTTTTAATAATTCAGTAATTAAAAAAAAATTATATTTATAGAGTTGTATAGCCATCACCATCATCTAATTTTAGAACTTTTTCAGCACCCCCCCCCCAAAGAAACTCATACCTATAGTCCCTTCTCTTTCCCAGTCCCTTTCTACCCTCCTCCCTACCCCTTCCCAGCTTCAGGCAACCACCAACCTATTTTCTGTTATGGATATACCTCTATGGATATGTCTCCTCTGGATGTTTCATATAAAAGGAATCATATAATATCTAGTCTTTTGAAGGTACTTACTCTTGTTCAGACTGATCATATTTACCTTTAATTCTCTCCCTTATTCTGATTTCTAGTCATCCAGAGATTTGGTCACACCAGGTTAATCACTCTGATTGGATATGCAGTCCTATTCAAAACAAAGCTTTGCATCTGACACATGTGAACAAATGTTTATTTTGGTCTTTTTTATTATCTCCACTAGGAAAGCATCTTGTGAATAGCCTAGAGTGAAAGGAATATGGTTAGATGCCATGAACAATAAGTACCAGCCCAACTTTCTCTTATAAGCCTTTTATAAGCCTCTCTCTTATAATCCTCTCTCATAAGCCTTCAAACAATATTAATTTCAACCTGAATTTTATCAGATGCCTGGTGCTGATAGACAAAGACAAATAAATGCAGCTAGTGAGGGAGGCATATATAAGCCAATCACTCATACAGTGTGGTAAGTATTATAATAAAAGCCTTTGTATATAAATAAAGTTAATAAATCATATATGAGAAAGCATAAATAACATGGATTTCAGGGGAAATTTTTAAGAAAAGTATGGGGACCTAGGTCATAGAAACTATACCGTGTGCTACTTAGTTGATTTACTATGGTACCCATTGATTTTTACCCTCTAGTCTGTCTTTTGGGGTTGAAGCCCTTTCCACTTCCATACATTTAGTAAGTAGAGTGACAAAACGAGATGGTAGGTGAGGATTCTAGGAACTACATTCTTCTTACCCAGACATTATTTCCTTTACAGGTATAATAAGCTGGAACTCTCACCAGTAGTAGTCTCAACCACCATGGTACCAAATATTATAGATAAACCATTCATTCTGGAGATATCTACCAGCTCCAAGACACCCACTACTGAGGAGGCATCTCTTTTCAAAAAGCCATTCATTTTAAAAGAGGAACCCACTACTGAGGATACAATCCTCATCAAGAGGTCATTAAAGAAGAGCACAAATCAGAGGGAGGTGTCCCTCTTAGAGAAGCCACTATCCTTGCAGGAGGAGACTGACAGTGATGTTGTAGAGCCAGTGACTTCTGGGGAGAAGCATAAAACTGAGAAGGTAGCCATCAACAAGAGTACATTATCTTTAAAGAATATGTGCACACATCAGGGGAAGCAGTCCTGCATGAGGGAGGAGTTGGCATTGCAGGACATCAGTGTTGAAGAGGATTCTTTCTTTATGGAGCCCACGAACTTTAGGAAGAAGTCTAAAACTGAGGAGGCAACCCCCACCAAGAAGCTGTTATCTTTAAAGAAAAAGTGTACCACTCAGGGGAAGATGTCCTGTATGAAGAAGCCACTAGTATTGCAGAAGATCACCTCTGAAGAGAAGTCACTCGCTAAGGAGCTGTTGTCTTTTAAGAGAAAGCCTACCACTGAGAAGGACTGCCTTTTCCAGGAGCCATCTGCATTGCCAAAGAAGCACACCACTGAACAAGAGGTGTCCATCTTGAAGAAATCATTGGCCTTTCAGGAGAAGATTGACACTGAAGAGGATTCCGTCTTTAAGGAACCATTGGCTTTTAAGAAACAACCTACCACAGTGGAGACAACCCTCACCACAAGGCCATTATCTTTAAAGAAGAAGTGCACTACTCAGGGGAAGATAGCCCACTTGAAGAAGCCATTAGTATTGCAGAAGACCATCTCTGGAGAGAAGGTACTCATTAAGGAGTCATCGTCCTTTAAAAAGAAGCCTACCACTAAGGAGGAGTCCCTCTTCCAGGAGCTATCTGTGTTGCAAGAGAAGCACACCACTGATGGGGAGGTTACCCTTTTGAAGAAGCCAGAGGCATTGCAGGAGAAAAAGGATGGTGAAGATGAATTTCTTATGGAGCCAATTTCCTCAAGGAAGAAGCATACTACTAAGGAGGCAACCCTTTCCAAGAAACCATTACCTTTAAAGAAGAAGCATAGTACTCGGGGGAAGAGGTACTGCTTGAAGAAGCCACTAGTATTACAGAAGACCACCTCTGAAGAGAAGTCACTCATCAAGGAGCCGTTATCCCTTAAGAAGAAGCCTACCACTAAGGAGTCCCTTTTCCAAGAGGCATCAGCATTGCAGGAGAGGCACACCACTCAGGAGGAGTTGTCCATCTTGGAGAAGCCATTGGTCTTGCAAAAGACTCCAACTGCAGAGGAGTCCCTTTTAAGGGAGACTTTGGCTTTTAACAAGAAGCGTGCCATTGAGGAGGCAACCTCCTCTAATAAGCTGTTGTCTTTAAAGAAGAAGTGTACCAGTCAGGGTAAGATGTCCTGTTTGACCAAGCCACTAGTATTGCAGACCATTTCTGAAGAGAAGTCACTCATTAAGGAGCCATTATCCTTTAAAAAAAAACCTACCACTGAGGAGGAGTCCCTCTTGAAGAAACCATCTGCACTGCAAGAGAAGCACACTATTCAGGGGGATGTGGTCCTCTTAAAGAAGCTATGGGCATTGCAGGAGAATATAGACAGTAAACATGAATTTCTTATGGAGCCAGTGTCATTTAGGAAGAAACATACCACAGATGTGGCAGTCTCTACCAAGGAGTCATTATCTTTAAAGAAGAAAAGGTGTACCACTCAAATGATGATGCCTATCTTCCAAGAACAGTTGGACTTGCAGAATATGATTGGTGAAGGTGAGGACTCCTCCTTTATGGAGCCAATGTCATTTAGGAAGAAGTCTTCAACTGATGAGACAATTCTAACCAAGACACCGGTATCTTTAAAAAAGAGGCAAATCACTCAGGGGAAGATGTTCCTCTTAAAGAAGCCACTGGTCATAGAGAAGACTACCTCTGAAGAGGAGTCACTCTTTAAGGAGCTGTTGCCCTTTAAAAAAAAGTCTACAACCGAAGAGTTCCTCTTCCAGGATCCATCTGTACTGAAAGAGAGGCACATCACTCTGCAAGAGGTGTCCCTCTCAAAGAAGCCATTGGCCTTGCAGGAGAATATCACCACTGAAGAAGAATCATATATTAAGGAGCCATTGACCTTGGAGGAGAGGTCTACCACTGAGGAGGAATTCCCCTTTCAGGAGCCATTTTCATTGCATGTTAAACCTACCAACAAAGATGAGTCCCTCTTCAGGAAGTCTTTTGCCTTGCAGAAGAAGACTGATAACAAAGAGGACTCCTTGAAGGCACTGTTAGCTTTGCAGGACAAAAGCACCACTGAAGAGGAATTCCTTTTCAAGAAACCATTGGTTCTGAAGGAAGAGCTCTCCACTGAGGTGGCAGTGAGCATAGAGGGGCAATTAACTTTAAAGAAGAAGCCCACTGCTCAGGGGGAGGTGTTCCTCTTGAAAAAGCAGTTGGCCTTGCAAGAAAACATCACCATTGAAGAGGAGTCCCTTATTAAGCAGCCACAGGCCTTGCAGGAGAAGCCCAGCATTGAAAAGGAGACCATCCTGAGGGAGTCCTTGACCTTGCAGGAGAATCTCACAATTGAGGAGGAGGCTATCCTGGAGGAGCCCCTGGCCTTGCAGGAGAATCCCAGCATTGAGAAGGAAATCATCTTGAGGGAGTCCTTGGCCTTGCAGGAGAAGCCCACGAGTGAGAAAGAGACCCTCTTCGAGGAGCCCTTGGCCTTGCAGGAGAATCCCACAATTGAGGAGGAGGCTATCCTGAAGGAGCCCTTGGCCTTGCAGGAGAAGCCCAGCAGTGAGGAAGACTTGTCTTCCAAGGAGCCATTGGCTTTGCCAAAGAATCTCACTCACAAAGAAGACACCTTTCTCAAAGATTTCATCATCCTCCAAGTTGAAACCAGCCCACATGTGTCTACCACTGCCCCTGACTCTAGAACAGGCTTGTCCAGCACTGTCACCATGTCCAGTGTGGGCAAGTTCAGTACCACAAGCCAGTCCAGTACTTGTGAATCCAGTTCCAATGAACCTTTCTCATCTCAGGAAAAGAGATCAGAGAAGGAGGTATTCTGCTTTCTTTCTTCTTAAATTAGATGAAGTGTTCTTTGTTGTCCTGGAGGTGGCTGCTAGCAAAGAGATTTTTTTTGCCTTCCTAAGCAATTGGTATTAAATCAAGTTGGCCTTGTAGAATCTCTTGTCTTGGTGGTTGGCGTAGTGATGTACCTGAGCAATTAGAAAGTATTTATTCCAGGAATACCCCCAAGCGTCTGGAATACTGTGTGTGTGTGTGTGTGTGTGTGTGTGTGTGTGTGTGTGTGTAATATATATATATATATATATATATATATATATATGTATGTATATATACGCTTTTCAGTAGTGGTTAGACAATTTCTTTCAGGAAATTGCCTTTCTTAGTAATTGCAATCTGCATTACATTGGACCTTAGCTAAAGATGAGTTAAGTTCACAGAGGCATCTTCCAAGGAAGATGGTTTTTAAGTTGTAAATTGGAAGGACTAAGGGATGAGATTTGGCAAGCAGAAGAAGAAAGACCCCTCTTGTAGGCAGAACAACCTGGTTAAATGTGTAGAAGGGAGGAAAAGGCTAACAAGAAGATGAACTGGGCCAGATCAAAGCACTGAGACATAACAAGGGACCTACGAAGACAGGTGACATAATTTGAAAGAGTAAGACAAGAATGTCTTTCTTGGAGAATCTTGAGCTTACCTGTAAAAATAGTGTCAGTTTCTTAGGGCAGAGCAGGTGTGTACAGGAGGACTAAGCATTTCTTGGTTACTCAACAGTATGAGGATTACAGGGCCAAGGGGTGCTCTGTTATGGCCCAGGACATATAAGGCTTGAGGAACCTTAGGAGAAGATGACAGTGGGAAGAAAGGAGTCATTTTTTATGTATGTGTGCTAAGCTTTCCTTGGAATCTTTCTCTTAATATGTCTTTCCGGTGATTTCCAAGCAGATGACCCCACTGGAGGATATTGACAAGGACCACAGTGATCCATTTTTCAACTCAATATATGCTAAGGATATCTTCAGTTACATGAAGGAGAGAGAGGTGTGTAGGTGGTGAGGGTGAGGGGCAATGATTTCCTGTTCTCATTTTCTCATCACACATCCTTCAAATGCAAGTTTAAAGGGGAGGTAATAATGATGATGAAAACAATAATAGCAGCAACTGACATCTACTTGTAGCATACTATGAGTTAAACATTGTGCTAAGGGATTTATAAACATTATCTTGTTTAATTTTCCCAATAACTTCATGATGGTAGGTATTATTATCTCCTTTTTATAGTTGGAGGAAACTGTTCAGTCAACACAAATAGTATGTGATAGATCTGGGATATGAACTAAAGTCTAATTACCTTGGAGACCATAAGCCTACACCTCTAATTGCTGAGGAGATAATCTCAGACACAAAAATTGTCAAGCGGGCTCTTTCTGAGTGACTGCTCTTAGGGATCTTTTCCTTTCTCTATGCAAGTTTCTGACATCATATGTAAAACCAGACCTTTTATTCCAACTCTCCAACCTGGTGAAATTTTCTTTCTCCTTTGAAATCTGCCAGTCTCTTTTACCACTAATATTCATCAATTCCAAATTTTCTTCTGTCTCTCAGTGGAACAGATGGGACCAAGGTTATCTACTAACTAGAATTTTAGCAAGCCATGCATAAGAGGAAGGATGAATATCTCATCTTCTCTCTAGAGACACAGCAATAGATTAACTGACTTCAGAGCCTGTACTTTTTCTAGTATACCTTGGAGGAAGCAAGAGATTACTATACTAAAAGTGCAGGCCTTAGCTCAGCAGTGTTGGTTTCACTTGGGGATCTTATGGGAGACCGGGATTGACATATATACACTAATAATGTATAAAATCAATAACTAATAAGAACGGGCTATATAAAAAAATAAATAAAATAAAATTTTAAAAAATATGCAGAAACCTAGCCTCACCCTAGACCTTCTAAATTAGAATGTGAAGTTTAAAGATCCCCAAGTATCTTTCACATATGCATGTTAAAGTTTGAGAAGGACCCCTCTACGCAGCCTGGTATTGTGCTTCAGACTGAATTGCAAAGAAGGGGCAGAATCTCTTTGATATTCACCTATAGTCATAGGTGTATTCCTGCCCATATTCCATATTCTCCTGGACTCCTCGATATCCACCCTGACAAATATCATGTGTGTCCATTTCCTAAGGATAACTGAAACTTGTCTGGAAAAGGATACTTTTATCTGCCCCTATCTGATACCAGCTGAAAATAATGATTTAGAACCCTGAGGAAATTACTTAGGTTACAGTTTTTTTCTGAGATATTAGTTGCAAATATTGTTTCCCAAGTTACAATTTTTGAACTACAGGAAGAGTTTATTTGTTAACACTTCTTTCTTCTTGCTGCCAGGAAAAGTTCATACTTAAAAAATACATGACCAGGCAGAGTGATATCAACAGTGACATGAGGGCCATTCTCGTGGACTGGTTGGTGGAGGTGCAGGTAAGCCTGACAACTGCTGCCTTAAGGGGCTGATATTCTCTTTATCAATTATTCATTCAGCATCGCCAGGTCCCAAACGTAGTAAAAATTTACTGGGTCTACAGAGCTGAATAAGCCATGATTCCTGCCCTTAGGGAGCTTATGACCTAGGGGACAAGATAAGACAAGCAGGCAGATGAGAACAATACAAAGTAGAATATACTAAGTACTATAAGAATGTTATTAATAAGACACTCGGAGAACCCAGTGGAAGGAGAGATATTTCTAGAAAAGGCAATGATGGTATGTCAGTTTAATCATTCTCAAAATCCTGTAAAAGTATATCTTGTGATTTGGATAGGGGTTAGTGACAAAGTCTCTCAAGCTTTGGATGGGATGGGTAATAGGAAGGACATTGTAGCCCCAAACAGGGCAGATGGCTGTTTGTTGAGGGTTGGATGTTGAGGGAATATTGTTATGAATACTTAATTATCACTTTATACTAACAAAGGGTAGCCCAGAATAGTACCTGGACGTAGTAGGTGTCAATAAATATTTGTTGAATGAATGGAATTGAAAGGATTGCTGTGGAGTTTGCAAGGAAATATAAGGCATAGCATATGCCCAGCAGAGGCTTACTATATAATTGGGAAGAAAATGTAATATAGTTTAATATCCTTTAAGTACCAGAGTAATGGTTCAGGCTCACTTTGGAGTGACAGAGCAGGGAAATGTGGTAGACATGGTATATTTGAACATCAGCAAAGCATGAAAATGTCATCTTATGGAAATGATGCAAAATAGTAAATTAGATAAGAGTAGAATTTGAGTAAATCTTAAATAAGTAAAATTGATCACAAAGATTGCTGATCATTACCAAGCAAGAAAGAGATTTCTAATAGACTGCCAGTGGACTTTGTTCTGATCAATATTTTTATAAGTGATGTAGATGAGAACAGAGAAGATCATCTCATCAAATTCACAGGTGGCATGAAACTGGGAGTAGGGATAGGAAATAAATGGATAACAGATAAAATATCTCTAGCAGCTGGAATGATGAACTGAATCTTTTAATAAAAAAGCTTTTGTTGTTATTTTTATTGCACAAAATTCACAATTATTATAGCAAAGTAAGAAATTATAATTTCTTGTGATCCCACAACCTACAGTGTTAACATTCGTGTGTGTTTATTATCCCCCGCTTTTATTTTTTAACATCTTTATTGGAGTATAATTGCTTTACATTGTTGTGTTAGTTGCTGCTGTATAACAGAGTGAATCAGCTATATGTATACATATATCCCCATATCCCCTCCCTCTTGTGTCTCCCTCCCACCCTCCCTATCCCACCCCTCTAGGTGGTCACAAAGCATCGAGCTAATCTCCCTGTGCGATGCAGCTGCTTCCCACTAGTTATCTGTTTTACATTTGGTAGTGTATCTATGTCAGTGCCACTCTCTCACTTCATCTCAGCTTACCCTTCCCCCTCCCTGTGTCCTCAACTCCATTCTCTACGTCTGCATCTTTTTTTTTTTTTTTTTCCTTGTGGTACATAGGCCTCTCACCGTTGTGGCCCTTCCCATTGCGGAGCACAGGCTCCGGACACGCAGGCTCAGGGGCCATGGCTCACGGGCCCAGCCGCTCCGCGGCACATGGGATCTTCCCGGACCGGGGCACGAACCCGCGCCCCCTGCATCGGCAGGCGGACTCTCAACCACTGCACCACCAGGGAAGCCCTACGTCTGCATCTTTATTCCTGTCCTGGCCCTAGGTTCTTCAGAACCATTTTTTTTTTTAAAGATTCCATATATATGTGTTAGCATACGGTATTTGTTTTTCTCTTTTTGACCTTTGTAACATTTGGGGATTGACTTTTATCACTCACCATAATTCCCTTGAGATCTGTCCAAGTTGTGTGTATCAATAGTTCATTCCTTTTTATTGCTGAGTAGTATTCCATGGTATGGATGTACCAAGGTTTGTTTAACCCTTCACCCATTGAAGGCCATTTGGGTTGTTTACAGTTTCTGAGACTGTGAAAAGAACATCTATAAACATTAATTTACAGGGTTTTATGTGAATATAAGTTTTCATTCCTACCATCAATACCGAGGAGTGGGATTGCTGTGTGATATGATAAATGTATGTTTAACTTAATGAGAAAGTGCTACAGAGTGACTGTATCATCTTGCACTCTCACCTGCAATGTATGAGAGTTCTAGCTGCTCTGAATTCCTGGTCAGCACTGGGTATTTTTTTTTTTTAAACTTTAGCCATATAGATGTGTAGAGGAATCTCACCATAGTTCTAATTTGCATTTGCCAATGATGTTGAACATCATACTTGTCATCTGTATATCCTCTTTGATGAAGTGTCTGTGTCTTTTGCCCAGTTTTAAATTGGGTAGTTTATTTTCTTTGTGTCAAGTTATGAGAATTCTTTACATGTTCTGGATACAAATCCTTTGTTGGATGTGTGATTTACAAACATATCCTACCAGTCTGTAGTCTTTTGATTCTTTAATCTGTGTCTTTCACAGAGGAAAAATTCCTAATTTTGATAGTCCAGTTTTTCAATGTTTTCTATATGGATTGCAATTTTTGTGTCATGTCTAAGAACTCTGCTTAAACCTAGGTCATGAATACTTTCTCCCATATTTTATCTAAAAGTTTCATAGCTTTAACATTAAATCTATAATTCATTTTGAGTTAATTTTTGTATAAGGTATGCAGGTTTTGAAGTCAAGTTTCATTGTTTTGCATATGGATGTCTAATTGTTCTAATACCATTTGTGGAAAAATATACTTTCTCCACTAAATTGCTTTTGCACCTTTGCCAAAAATCTGTTTGCCTTATTTGTGTGTGTCTATTTCTATACTTTTAAAAAATATTCTGTTTCATTGATCTGTGTCTATCCCTTTGCCAGTATTGCAGCCTTTATTTCTATAGTTTTATAGTAAGTCTTAAAACGAGGTAACATGATTCTTCCAACTCTATTCTGTCTTTTTTTTCAAAATTGTTTTAGCTATTCTAGTGTCTTAGCCTTTCTAGACAAATTTTAGAATCAGTTTGTCTGTATCTACTAAAAAATCCCTCTGAGGGTTTGATTGGAATTGAATTACATCTTGTGCAGAAAAGAGTTAACATAACAGGCATGATGCTGCTAGCCTTAGAAAGGCCTGTTTGCAAGGTTGCCCTTTGGCTGGCATCTGGGAACTTGATTGGTAAGCAGTTCCCTACACTGCTGTAAAATTCTCCCCTAATGATAACCGTGCCTAAACTCTTTGTGCAAACACTATGGTTTATTCTGAACACCTGCTTTCCTTCTGCAAGTCTGGAATTTTGGTCCATGTTAGGCAGAGTGTTTATGTGACCAGCTCCCAGTAAAATGTTAGGCACTGAGTCATTAATGAGCTTCCCTGTTACACAACACTTTACACGTATTGTTCCATCTTATTGCTGGAGGAATTAACTGCATCCTGAGAGACTCTGCGGGAATAGGACTCTTGGAAGCTTGCTTCTGGTTTTCACCAATTTTTGTCCATGCTCCTTTTCTCTTTGCTTTGTATCTTTTGCTATAATAAATCATAGCCATGAGTGTGACTATGTGCTGAGTCCTGTGAGTCATCCTAGGAATCATTGTACCTGGGGGTGGTCTTGGGGACCCCCAATGCACATTTATAGGTGAATTTGAATAGAATCAACATTTTTTTCTATGTTGAATCTTCCAACCCATGAACCATAAATGTAGTATGTCTATCATGTATTTAGATTTTCTTTGATTTTTTTTTTAAAAACCATACAGATCCTGTACATGTTTTGTTAGAGTTATGCCCAAATATTTTCTTTTTTTGTAGCTATTGTAAATGGTATTTTAAAAATTTTTTGGTTTCCATTTGTACAGTGCCAATATGAAATATTGATATTTGTGTGTTGACCTTGTATTCTACGATCTTGCTAAAACTCACTTATTAAATCTTAGGAGTTCTTTTTTTGGTAGATTTCTTAAAGTTATCTACATAGACAATTATGTCATTTGCAAATGGAGACAGTTTGATCCCTTTCCAGTCTGTATACGTTTAACTTCATTTTTGTGTTTTATTGCACTGTGCAGGACTTCATTATGATGTTGATAGAATCAGTAAGAGTGGACCGCCTTGTCTTGTCCCTGATCTTCGGAATAAAGCAGTTAATCTTTCACCATTAGTATGATCTTAACTGTAGAGTTTTTGCCGCTACCTTAGATCAGGTTGAGAGATTTACTTTCCATTCTTAGTTTGGTGATATATACTTATCATGACAATGTTAAATTTGTCAAATGCTTTTTTCCTGCATCTATTGATTTTTTTTGGCTTTAGCCTATTGATGTGGTGGATTATATTGATTTTTAAATATTGAAGCAGGCTCATATTCCTGGGATAAACTCCAGTTGGTTCTGGAGTATTATTCTTATGTATTGCAAATCTTATATGCTAATATTTTGTTGAGGATTTTTGCATCTATGTTTATGATGGATGTTGGTCTGTAGTGTTCTTTTCAAAAATATTTTTGTACTGTCTTTTTCTGGTTCTTTAGTTCTTTCTGGACGAACTAAAGAGCAAACAATGATGAACAACAAAATAAATGAAATTAAAAATTCTCTAGAAGGAATCAATAGCAGAATAACTGAGGCAGAAGAACGGATAAGTGACCTGAAAGATAAAATAGAGGAAATAACTACAGCAGAGCAGAATAAAGAAAAAAGAATGAAGAGAATTGAGGACAGTCTCAGAGACCTCTGGGACAATATTAAACATACCAACATTTGAATTACAGGGGTCCCAGAAGAAGAAGAGAAAAAAGAAAGGGACTGAGAAAATATTTGAAGAGATTATAGTTGAAAACTTCCCTAACATGGGAAAAGAAATAGTCAATCACATCTAGGAAGCGCAGAGAGTCCCATACAGGATAAATCCAAGCAGAGACATGCCAAGACACATATTAATAAAACTATCAAAAATTAAATACAAAATAAAAATATT